CCAGAGCACCGTGGCTGACGTGGAACGAGCCACCGCGCGGCTGCCCAGCCTCACCAGCCGAGTCAGCTATGCCGTTCGCAGGGTCCACACTGTTCGCGGTGGGTAGGGCAACTGCCAGCCCCAATGTAGCCCTCCTCCCCCATCTGTCTCATCCCACACCCGTCCCCTTGCCTACATGCCACCAGTCCCTGCACCTCTTCCCCTTACTCCCCTCTTCCCTTTTCACTTCTTCAAACTCCTCTCTCTTGTTCTCTGCCTTTTCTTCCACAGGCCTGATGGCTCGAAAACTGGCCCTTGTTCAGCTGCGCCAGGAGAGGTGAAGTTTAGGGCATTTTGAGGTGGACGAGAGGGGGTTAAGGCGTTGTTTGCCTTCAAACAGTGAGGACTGAGGACGGACGGAAGCTTAAGAGCTTAGGAATCAGGCTGTGTGATTTCCCCTCACTCTGTCCCTTCCCTGCCCAGCTGCCCCCAGCCCCCACCGGCCACAGATGTGCACCTTGAGTTGGAGCAGCTGCGGGAAGAACGGAACCGCCTGGACACAGAACTGCAGCTGAGTGCCCACATCATCGAGCAGGAAGTGGGTCGGGCCCGGGAGCAAGGTACGCTTGGTCCTGGAGTCCCCGGGCTGAAGCAGGGGCCGGGGTTGGGTGCATTTGTGGGTGGAGAGGAGGGAAGAGCTGTTGCATGGCACAGGGAGGCACTCTGGGAGGCCTGTGAGTGCCGCCTCTTCCCAGGGGAGGCGGAGCGGCAGCAACTGAGCAAGGTCGCCCAGCAGCTGGAGCAGGAGCTGCAGCGGACCCAGGAGTCCCTGGCTAGTGTGGGGCTGCAGCTGGAAGCAGCTCGCCAGGGCCAGCAGGAGAGCACACAGGAGGCTGCCAGTCTCCGACAGGAACTGACCCAGCAGCAGGAGATCTATGGGCAAGGTGTGCGGGAGGGGAAATGGGTTTTCCCTGGAGGGCTGGGGGGAGCCAAGAACCAAGGCTCCCCCTGTCACACTCCATTTGCACCCTCCCCCCACCCAGCTCTGCAAGAGAAGGTGGCTGAAGTGGAAACTAGGCTGCGAGAACAGCTCTTAGAAACAGAGAGGAGATTGAATGATGCTCGGAGGGAGCATGGCAAGGCAGGTGAGATTTGCTGGGATGGACATGGGCTTCCAAGGAGATTCAGGAAGTGCTGGACATAAAGTTTTTTTAACGCTGTTTTGGAAGTATGCAAATAATGAAGTTATCAAGAAATGGCACAGGTAGATTCTCAGGTGGTGAACAGACTCACATAAGCCTATCAGCATATCAGGCACTGGCATGTGACCAGCCCTGGAGCCTCCTAAGCCCTTCCCAGCCACTCCCTCCACAAAGGCAGCACCATTCCCAGTCTCACACCAACAGTTTACCCCCAGTTATTTTTTTCTTAATAACAATAGAAATGTATTCTCTCACAGCAGTGGAAGCTAAAAGCTAGAATTCTGAACTCAAGATGCTCACAGGGTTGGTTCCTACTAGAGGCTCTGAGAGACCTTCTGTTTTATGATTCTCTCCTGCCTTGTGGTGGTTGCTGGGAGTCTTTGGTTTGTAGGCATATCATTCCATTCTGTCTCCATCTTTACATGGCATTCTCTCCTGTGTGTGTCTACCCCCAACTTTTTTTTTCAAGTGTTTTTTTTTTTTTGCTAATTTGTTTTTGCTTTTTTATGTTTATTTATTTTTGAGAGAGACAGCTCGAGTGGAGGAGGGGCAGAGAGGGAGGGGGGGAGAGAGAGAGAATGTGAGAGAGTCCCAAGCAAGCTCTGAGCTGGCAGCACAGAGCCTGACGCAGGACTCAAACTCATGAAACTGAGATCATGACCTGAACCAAAACCAAGAGTTGGATGCTTAACTGACTGAACCATCCAGGAGCCCCTCAAAGATTTTATTTTTAAGTAATCTCTGTACCTAATGTGGGGCTTAAACTCAAAAACCCAAGATCAAGAGTCATGCTCTACCAACTAAGCCACCCAGGAGCCTCCCCCCAACTTTTTATTAGGAAAAAGTTCAAATACCTACACAAGTTATAAGAGTCACGTAATGTCCACTTGTATACCTTTAACTAGGTGTTAACAGTTAACTAATCTTTTTTTAAATTAAAAAAAAATGTTTATTTTGAGAGAGAGAATCCTAAGCAGGCTGCATGCTCATCGAGGAGCCGAACATGGGGCTCCATCTCACTGCTGTAAGATCACAACTTGAGCCGATATCAAGAGTTAGATGCCTAACCAACTGAGCTACCCTGGTGCCCCTAGATTTTAGTTTTTTAGGTAACTTCTACACCCAACGTGGGGCTTGAACCCACGACCCTGAGATCAAGAGTCACACGTTCCACTGACTGAGCCGGCAGGTGCCTCAGCAGTTCCTAACCTTTTGCTACATTTGCTCTATCCATATATACACATACACTGATACATGCATTTTTGGAGGAATCATTTAAAATAAGTTACAAACATCATGGCCATTCAGCTGCATCTCCTACAAAGAGGAACATTTTCTATATAACCTCAGTATGATTGTCACATTAACAGCATTAATTGCACAAAATCTAATACCCAGCTCATATTCAGATTTCCCTTAAGTGACTCCAGGAAGGTTCAGGGATGGGGAAGGTACTTTGGGTTCACAGAGTCATAGGGTCATCAGTCACCCTTCCCACCAAACAGAAGAGACAGCTGTAGAGCATAAATGGCTTCCCTGGGCCTTAGAGCTAGGAACCCAGTGTTTCTGCCCCTCATTCCAGTCCTGTTCTCATGGTGCCTCTCTGCCTCTGGGCTGCCCCACACCTGTGCCCTCTGTGCCCTGGCTTCCACATAGTGGTCTCCCTGCGCCAGATGCAGCGCAAAGCCACCCGGGAAAAGGAACGGAACCAGGAGCTCAGGCGCCTGCAAGATGAGGCCCGGAAGGAGGAGGGGCTGCGGCTGACCCAACGCCTGCAGGAGCTAGAAAGGGACAAGAACCTTATGCTGGTAGGGGATAGCAGAGACAAGGGCCCTTCTGGAGCTGGTTGGGGAGTAGAGTTGTAGAAGGAGGAGGGGTGGCTCTGCGGGGGCTCGGTGGCGTTTAACCCTCTCCTTCCCAGGCCACCTTGCAGCAGGAGGGTCTCCTCTCCCGTTACAAGCAGCAGCGACTGTTGGCAGTTCTTCCTTCCCTGCTGGATAAGGGGAAATCTGTTGAGTCCAGTCCCAGGGCCCCAGGGCCCCCAGCACCTGTACCTCCAGCAGCAGCACCCATCAGCAGGGAGTCCATAAAAGGTAATGGTCCCTGTAGAAAGGGACACACTTGAAGGGGACTTTAGCAATCTTTCCTCCAGACACTCTTAATGCTTGAGCATTGTTCTCTGTGACCCTTGGAGGCCCAACAACCTCTTTTATCCATGCCCACCTTGGGCCAGAGAGCCGTGTCCCTCATAACTCTCCCATCCAATGGTAGCCCTGTTATCTGTGCAGTAGTTGGCAACAGCCTTCTCTTCTCAGGCTCCTATCCCTTGGAGTTTTCCTTCCCAGGATCCCTCTCTGTCCTGCTTGATGATCTGCAGGGCCTGAGTGAGGCCATCTCCAAAGAGGAAGCTGTTTCTCAAGGAGACAACCAGAACTGCCCTCCTCCAGTCTGCCTCTGAGCAGCTGGGGGCTCAAGGTGGGCCGGAAGGATGGTGGAGAAGTGGGGTGGGGTGCGGAGGCCGGCCAGCTGCCTTTATGGACACGAGCTGCCAAGATGTCTATGAATTTTGTGGCACAATAAAGATGACTACAATAGGAGCCATGTTCTTTCTGGGAATGGAAGGGAATTCTCCCAGCATCCATTTCTTTCTGGAAAATGTGAGAAGTCCCACACAGCTGTTTCTCTAGGCAGTGCCTTTTTCAAAACCCCTTTCCCTGGGCTGCTTGGGAAGTTGTTTGAGAAGCTCCAGGTTTTCTTTATTCTCAACTTTTGTTTTAAAACTCTTTACCTCTTGGATTGCCTGGTGGCTCAGTCGGTTAACCATCTGACACTTGGTTTCTGCTCAGGTCATGATCTCAGTTTCTGAGTTCCAGCCCCACTTTGGGCTCTCTGCTGTCAGCACAGAGCCTGCTTCAGATCCTCTGTCCCTCTCTCTTCCCCTCCCTCACTTGCGCTCTCTCTAGAAAAACAAACAAAAACAAAACAACAAACTCTACCTCTGGAAAATAATCACTGTCAGGAATGAGGAATATAAGACCTCGCTCATTTGACAAGAATCTCAGAGCTAAGGCCATGTCCTTGTTCAGGGGCCACAGTGGTGGGCTTGATGGGTGGGTCCCTGCTCCCATGGCTCTGACATCAGGGTTGGGGAGACAGATGATGGACAAGGACCTACGTGGACAAAGCAGCATTGCCATGAAGAGAAGATACATACAGTGTGTGACAGAACCTGACTGGGGAGAGACGGCTAGATGAGGGGACAGGAAAGGCCTCCTTGAGGAGGGGATGTGTGACCTGCTTTGGCACACTCCAAAGAGTCCTGCAGAGGGCAGACAAACACAGGCTGAGAGTGGGAAGGGAGGACCTGGTTTAAATCTGTAGGAAGCCCTTGGAGTACTTTAAAGCCAGGAAGCAGCCACACAATTAGGCTGACAAAAACATTTTTATGTTTAATTTTTGAGGGAGAGAACATGAACAGGGGGTGGAGTGGAGGGGCAGAGAGAGAGGAGGACAGAGGATCCAAAACGGGCTCCGTGCTGACAGCAGCAAGCCTGATGTGGGGCTTGAACTCATGAACCATGAGATCATGACCTGAGCCGAAGTAGGATGCTCAATGTACTGAGCCACCCAGGTGCCCCTAGGCTGACACTTTTAAGAGCTAGGTTGGCTGGCTGTGGAGGACCAGGTTTGGGTGTGGGGAGGGATGAAGAGTGTCAGCTAGGAGGGTACTGGGAGAGTGGGGAGAGATGGATTCTAGGATGGGGAGGTGGGCTGGACTTGGCTTGGGGGTGTGGGGGGAAGGGGCAGAATGAAGTCTTGGAAGTGACACCGCTGTCCCTCACTAGGAGGGAGCAGACCAGGTGGGGAACAGCCTGGGGAGGAAGGGTGTCCTGTTTGGAAGGCATTACTTATGAGGCTCACTAGACCTTTTGTCCAGAGGAGACTTTCCTGAGGAAGAGGTTCTAAGGGTCTCCGAGAGACTGAGACAAGACTTGGACCAAGGCCTAAAGGTCCCAGGCAGTGGAGCCCACAGAGAGCTGGCACCAAGGACCAGGGCAGCAATCAGAGGGGCCGGTGAGCAAGGTTCTGGAGGAAGGAGGAAGAGGCTGAGATGACGGGAAGCGGAGGCAGGTCCCTCCGAAGCCTCTGAGCTGTGACTGACGAAGCCTGCTCTGGGGTGGGGAGAAGGAGTCAGAACGTCCTCATACTTCCTCACCTGCCGTCACCCCAGGTGGCTCCTGGACAAAATTCTTTGGATGTCACTGCTTGGGAGGCCCCCTGAGTGTCTGATGAAGGCACATGCTGGAAAGCAGTCTGGAGGGGAGTGGAAATTCCAAGGGTAAAACTGAGTCCCAAGGGGGAGGGTCGGGGTGCTGGCTGAGACCATCCCAGCTGCATCTTGTGTGTTTAAACAGGAGCAACTCTCCCTGCTCCTGCCCAGGCTTCCTACCTCCCAGGCCCTGTAATTAGACTGCTTCCCCACGCAAGGCTTGCTCCCATTCCTTGGCTTCCAATGGCTTCAAGGGATGAAAGGTGGAAGTCCCTGTGATTATGGAGATGAGAGCTGGGTATTGATTGCTTCAGGGTGTGTAAGGAGGAGGATGTGAAAACAAGGGTGGGGTGACCAAAGTCTAGGTCATTGATAGAGCTGGGCGGCTGGCTCCCAAAATTGGGGGGACTAAAATGAGGGACGCCACCGTCAGGTTACACATCAGCCATGGCCTTCCAAACAGGTTTGTCCAGTTAGGTTCTGATGGATTCCTTGTGTCCCTGGGCTGGCCCTCCCCAGAGATTGGACGCCTCCTCTCCCTCCTCCCCTATAAAGTCTCTTGGGGTTCCCAGGCACCTAGACTCAGCCCACCCCCAACTTTGGGGGCCAGGACACAGCCATGAAGTTCAACTGGAAGCTCCTGGGGATCCTGGTCCTTTACCTGTATGCCGTAGGTAAGCCAGGAGTGCAATTTGGGTTGTTGAAAGATGGTCAAGCAAGGTGAGGGTGAATTGGATGCATAGGGATGGAGGAGATTCCAAAAGATTCTGGCTATTAACATGAGGGATAGTGTTAAGAGGTTGAAGGAGATGCAGCTCAATGTTTTTACTGGTTCAGGTATAGGTCCATGTGGCAATTTTGATCAGAATCCAGGTATATGGGCTAGTATTTTTCACAGCTAAGGACTGTGTGGAGGATGGATGTCACTGTAGAGGCTGAGATCTGGGTGCCACATGGGCCCAAGGTATAGATGGCTTTAGAGGTATAGACCAACACAGAAGCCATGCCATTGGGGGTCTCAACCAGGGTGGATAGAGTTTAGATCAGGTCCTGTCAATTTAAAGTTGGTCAAGTTGGGGCACCTGAGTGGCTCAGTCAGCTGGGTGATCAACTCTTGATTTCGGCTCAGGTCATGATCCTATGGTTCATGAGATTGAGCTCTGCACTGGGCTCAGCCTATTTAAGATTCTCTCTCTCTCTCTCTCTCTCAAATAAAAAAGAAAGTTGGTCAAGTTAATGATACCAGATAGGGTTTTTATATCATGTTAAGATCACTTTGGTATTTTGTAAATGTGTAGAGACTTTTTTGAGAGTTGTTTTTTAAAAATGCATTTTATTATTTTTTAATTTTAAAAAAATGTTTATTTTTGAGAGAGAGCACAAGCAAGGGAGGGGCAGAGAAAGAGGGGAACAGAGGATCCAAAGCAGGCTCCGTGGTGACAGCAGAGAACCTGATTTGGGCCTTGAACTCACAAACCGTGAGATCATGACCTGAGCCAAAGTTGGATGCTCAACTGACTGAACCACCCAGGTGCCCTCTCCCCCTTTTAAAGTTTATTTATTTATTTTGAGAGAGAGAGAGCAGGGAGGGACAGAGAGGGAGAGAGAGAATCCCAAGCTGGATCTACACTGTCAGTGAAGAGCCTGATACAGGGCTCAAACTCAACAACTCAACAGATCATGGCTGGAGCCAAAATCAAGAGTCAAATGTTCAACTGACTGAGCCACCCAGGCATCCCAAGAGATAAGTTTTGAGATGTGTTTGTAGTGTCAGCTCAGCGTGTGGTCTATCTCAAAGAGGCTATGCCTTCTGAGTCTGTAGCTGGGGGAGGAGGCATCTGGCCCTCACTACCTTTTACCTTTCTCCTTACACCTCCACAGGCATCTCGGGCAGCGGAGACCACCCCTCTCACCCACCCACAGAGGCTGGAGAGGAGGATGGGTCCCCAATATTGCCTCAGGGCCCCCCAATCCCTGGTGATCCTTGGCCAGGGGCACCCCCTCTCTTTGAGGACCCTCCACCTCCAGGCTCCAGTCGTTCCTGGAGAGACCTGCCAGAACCTGGAGTCTGGCCTCCTGAGCCCCCAAGAACTGATCCCCCTCAACCTCCCCGGCCTGATGATCCCTGGCCAGCAGGACCCCAGCCTCCAGAAAACCCCTGGCCACCTGCTCCTGAAGTGGACCATGGATCTCAAGAGGAGCCAGACCTTGACCCACCCCGGGAAGAATACAGATAGAGGGATCCCCCAGAGGCATCTCAGTGCCCCCAAGCCCATCTGAACCCTTCTGATTTCCCTTCAATTCTCCCCAATTTATCCTCAATTTCCTTCTTCATTCTTTCAATTAATTCTGAATTCTGAAGGTGTCGTTCTCAGTATTTCCTGTCCACTCTTCAGTTCACCCATATTTCCCCACCTGTTTTCTCTGACAGCTGAAGCATACACCCCTACCTCATGTCCAGTCCTTTACCCACTACCTGCTTCCCAACCTCTTTCCCACTCCTGGGGCTCCCCCTGACCCCCCAGGGCTGGTGGCACTGTATTCTTTGCTGACTCCTGGTGGCCTACAGCTGCAAACTATCTGGAGACCAAATGACGGCTCTTCCGTGAAATGGAAAAATAAAAAACCATGTTTTCCTCATTTTGAATCTAGGCTACTTCTTTGCCAATGATTAGGTCTTTGAATATTGAGATGCCCTCCTCAGAGCACAAACCTACAGAGATCTGGAAGTAATCTAAGTTCATGTGTTGCAGGAGGAAGTTGGAAATGTAACTCTCAGAGTTACAAGGACATTCACATTTACCCCATTCTGGAACCCCTATTTTGGAGAATGAGAAACCAAGTTACATCTCTTTCTAATAGCTTATGGTTTGCACACCCCTGGCTAAACATGAACTTTCCCAAGGGCATGTGGGCAGGACTAAGTTCTAAGGGGATCACTTTCCAGAAGTGTATGTGCCCCTTCCTAAAATGAATCTGCCTGACGACTATACTGTGTTTTCATTTTCCACCGATGTCTGTTAACAAACCACCCTTCTCCCTCTGAACAGAGAAAAGCCACGTTCTCTTGCTCACCTCGAACCAGTCAAGAGTGTTCTTCCTGGAGCTGGCAACAAATCAGCGGGGAATAGAAACCACCCTTTCCATCTCATTAGGAGATGCACTTAAATAAAAGCTTATTTTTCTGTTTAATCATCGTCAATATTTGTAGTTTTGACCAGCCGTGTCTTGTAATAACTGTATTTATAAACCTACTGCAGAGTAACTGTTCTTAACACAGTCTTATGGTCATGGTAATAAGTTTCCATTTATATACATACTTTTGTTACAGAGATACACAAAAAGACTTCTCAAATACAGTAAAATACAAAAAACTGATACAATGAAAATGTATTTCATTAGAATAAAACTATAGGGAGAGCAGAATTGAAAAAAGAACTAAACAGAAAAATAAATTTGCTGACTGATTAAAAGACTTGCTCACTTATTAAAAGGGTGTTGTAGATATGAAAATGTTACAGTATTTCATCCGAATATAATTTGAGTGATATGATTTTTAACAGGTAAGTACAATTACCTAGAAAATATATCCTTTGCACTATTTAAACTTATGATTAAAAATGTTAACTGTTCACTTAAAAATGTGTAATGCATACATAATTTTAAAAAATTCTTTAAGGGGGTATTTACACAGGAAAGTTGAAAAGGCAGGAGCCAAGGGATCTCAATGGCCTAATGTCAATCAAGTGGCTTACCAGGGTGGGGGCTGAAGAGGGGTTAAAAGAAATTGTGCATGACCTTAAAATTCGCCACTTAAGATCCAACTTATTTACATGGCAACTCCTATCAAAACCTGTATGTGACCAGTTTGGGAAAAACAAAAAAACAACCCCCCCCCCCACCTAATTTTAGAGTTGAGAAATAACCCTAGAACACGTAAGAATTGTAGGGGTGACTAGGTTCACGAAATTCATTCAGTTATTATCTTATACCCTTAGTATGTCCATCAATGCCAGGTGCCATGGGGGAATATAGAAAATAAAAATATACAGTTCCCACTCCCCAGAATCTTAAAATTAAGCTGGAGAAGAAAGGATTTGCATGAAAAGTTAAGTAACAATGTCACAGACAGTAAGGATCCGTGTAACTAGATAATTAAGTGAGTAAGTACCAAATAGCCTCGGCAATAAACGCCGTGAGTTCAGAAGGGAGTCACGGGGAGCTGGAATGGTCAGGGGAGGCTTCCAAGAAGAATGCACCGGCGGGGTGAAATACAGGCTGCCGAGGTGCTGGCCGGGCAGGAAGAGGATTTGGGGGGCGGGGGGGGGGCGGCTCCAGCGAAGGCGCAGGCGCAAACCTGCCCGACGTCCAAGCCCTGCAGGACCCACCCCCGCGCTCCCATTCTCTGGCGGCCCCCGGCTCCGGCCTTTTGGAGTGCGGCTCGCAGTGTCTGGAAATGGCTTTCTGTCTCCAGCCAGTGGTATTTCCCTTCAGTGACGCCGCTCCCTGCTCCCCTGCGCCCCCTGCCCTGCGCTACCGAGGTCTGCGGCGCAGCAGTGCGTGGAACAAAACTCAGAGGGCAAGGATTTATTCCCGACCGTCCTCCGTCCTAGGCCTTGAGCCCCTTGCAGGCAGAGCCGGCCCTGCACGTTTCTTGTGGGACCTCTTTACCATTTTGGTGCCTGTGCCTCCCAGTGTGCTGTCACTCAGCAGCCCCGCTTAGGCCTCGCAGGGCTGGGACCCTGGCGTGCTGGAAGAACTCCCCCACATTGTCGCTCCCTCACCTCTCCCAGCCCTTTAAGGATGACCGATAATGTGGGAGTATCGACACTCCAGCCCTTTGAGCCCCACTTGTCCTCCATGAGACTTTGCTTGGGCTCCTTTGTACTAATCCACTCCTTCTCCTTGTTCCCCAACCCTCACCTTTAAAAAAAAAAATCCTCTTTACTTGAATCTTTGTCTACTTCTGGGCATCCCAGCCTAGGTCGCAAATATGGTTTGCTGCAAACTACTGCAACTCCTGTGACCGTGTATGTGCTATGTGGGCGCCTTTGCCAAATGCTCTACAGATTAAGCTCTCACCTAAATTGCACAGTAACCCCATTTTGGATCCTGAGAGGTACTGTGAGTCATTCAAGGAAAGACAAATGGCAAAACTGGGATTTGAACTCAGGTCTATCTACTAAGCCAATGTCTCTGGTTTTAGGTTTTTTTAATTAATTAATTAATTAATTATTTTGAGAGAGAGCAAGGAAGGGGCAGAAAGAGGGAATTCCAAGCAGGCTCCACACCGTCAGTGCAGAGTCCAGTGGGGTGGCTCAAACCCACAAACTGTGAGATCATGACCTGAGCCGAGATCAAGAGTCTGATGCCCAACCAACTGAGCCACCTAGGCACCCCTCTAATGTCTCTGATTTTAACCACTATAGCTCCCCATTACCCTTTTATTTATTATCTGTGTAATGCTGACTCTGAAGATAGTGCCTAGGTCTTCATGGTCACTTAATAGGTTGTATTAGGGTTCTCCAGAGACACAGAACCAATAGAGTATATATAGAGATTTATTATAGGAATTGGCTCTTGAGATTGCGGAGGCTGAGAAGTCCCACAGTCTGCTGTCTATAAGCTGGAGAACCAGGAATGCCAGTGGGGTAATTCCAAAGGCCTGAAAACCAGGAATGCTGATGATGTCCAAGGACAGGAGAAGGTGGAGGTCCCAGCTCAAACAAAGAGCAAATTCACTCTTCTTCTTGTTTGTTCTATTCAGCCCTCACAGAATGGATAATGCCCACCCACATTGGCAGCAGCAAGCTTTTCCCCTCAGTTCAACATTCCCATGGGAATCTCTTACAAGAAACAACCTCACAGATACACCTAGAAACAATGTTTCACCAACTATCTGGGCATCTCTTAGTCCGGTCAAGTTGACACATAAAATTAACTATTGCATACATGTTTCATGAATGGCTGAATTCATTCATAAACGGCAAGTTTGGGCAACAGGGAGTAGACTGAAATGGTTAGAGTGAGGGCTTATCACTTGGAAAAGAGGAGATATTGCTGGACAGGTAGTTTGGAGGGAAGTTAGGGAAGCCAAGCTTGGGAGCTTATATCTGAAAGTGTTTCTCCCCTGGGGCACCTGGGTGGCTCAGTCGGTTAAGTGTCTGACTCTTGATTTTGGTTCACACCATGATGTCACAGTTCATGGGTTTCCAGCTCCACATAGGGCTCTGCACTGACAGCATGAACTTGCTTGGGATTCTCTCTCTTTCTGTCCCTCTACCACTAGCGGGCACGCACACACACACACTCTCTCTCTCTCTCTCTCTCAAAATAAATACATAAACTTTAAAAATGAATCATGTTGAAAGTGTTTTTCCTCTGATAGAATTATGCCCAGTAGTGGGGAGGCTCACACACATGACTGGGTGTGCTGTCGCAGGAAGGGAAGCAGTCTAGAACCCTCAAACTGACCAGTAGCATCCCCTCAAGCCAGCAAGATGAAGTTCGTTGGGAAAAGAAAGAGAAAATAATTCTTTAAAAATTTTTAAAAATTAATTTATTTTGAGAGAGAGGAAGAGAGAGCTCAAATAGGGGAGGAACAGAGAGAGAGGAAGAGAGAGAAGCTGTCAGTGCAGAGTCTGATGCAGGGCTTGAACTCATGAACTGTGAGAACCTGAGCCAAAATCAAGAGTTAGTCACTCAACCAAATGAGCCACCCAGGCACCCTGAGAAAATAATTCTTAGAGGAGAGAGAAAGTGAGAGAAAAGAACTGAGTCCTTGGTGTAGCTCAGGCAAGGGTCTAGGACTCTACATCATGCTGTCTTATTTGATTTCTACAACATTATTGTGGTTTTCATGTCTTTCTACCTTTGTAAAGTATGAGCTTCTTGACGGCAGAGACATTGTGCCTTGTCTGTGTTTGCATGCCTTACTTCTTTCCTAGTACATGGCCCAGAAGGTATTCAATAAGGAAAATTATTAGCCCTGCTTCACAGATGAGGAAACTACTCTGAGAGAGGTAACTCATCTAAGTCATCACCCAAGTGCCAAAGTCAAGATGAGACAGGACTGCTTGCTCCAAACCAGTTCTTCCCAGTTTGACACAATAAGTGGGTGAGTGGGAGAGAGAAGGGGGAAGCATGAGGTAATTGGAGATTTTAATACCTATTAATAGGCAGCAGGTATTGACACCCAAATATGGTGTGTTTATCAGCTGGGATGGAGACTGAGTGGGACTGGAAGGTATGGAGCATTAACACAGGGGAACCCATTGTGCCAGCTTATCCATTCACTGCTTCTTCCCATCTACTTTGGCTGACCTCAGCTAGGAGTGAATGCAGTGGGGACAGTTGTGTCTTATGTCAACATGGAATCATAGAATCAAGTAATAGAATAGGATCATGGATTTAAAGAACAATAGCTCAGTACCTTGGACCTGGCAGGCAGTCCATAAATGTTTGGCCAATGAAAGAAAAAAATCTAGTATCTTGGTATACTCTAATTATAGAAGCTGAGTTAACTTGGGAAGGCATCAGGCACAGCCCTCAGCCTTTGGGCAGGCCAGTGATGTCTTTGGACTAGACAGAAGAGATGGTTGTCTGCCCTTCTTTGAAGATCTCTGGGCAGGGAAGCTCCA